CCCCCCCCCCCCCCCCCCCCCTCTCCCATGGGAATAACATCTGTGAATTTAAAAGCAATGCGTGAATGAAGCGGTAAACAACTCCATAACCGAATTAATTTCCGCTTTGAGCAGGACTTCGGATGCAAAAGACGTGGGTTACGTGTAAAGTAGCAAGTAGTCAGCGTTGGGCATCTCGTTATTAGCCGGGCGTAATTGTCTGTGCTCCTTGCTTCGGGAGCCGGTTTCACTAACCATCAATGATCAGCGTATCCCTGCGATTTTTCAAGGGACGATGATCGGGGTCGGGTTCGCCACACTGTTTATATTGGCAGCGGTATCAAAGGAGACGCCTACAGAATTTGCGATGTTGACTACCGCCAGCCCTGTGGTCACACTTCTAGGGAGTCCTCCACCTCACGAAGGTCTGTACATTGGGCTAGCGAAGCCCTCGTCGGATGGATCAAAGGTTCGAAAGTCTCGAAGTTGCAGCAGGGAAGGGGACGTCAAAGGCGCCCTTTCGGGGAGTTCGGGGATCATCAGGCTTATTCTTGTTTCGCGCACCCCGTGATTAGGTTCGAAATGCAATTGTCGGCTCGGTCTCACCTCAAGATAAATCCCTTCCAAGGATTCTGTTGCAAGGGTTAGGAACCAGGTGTTTAAAGCAAAGGACGGATAGATTGCAGAAGCATGAAGAACCAGAGCTTTGGTAGCCAGTTCCTATGAGTCGTGCTTCTCTCGGGTGATCACATTGTCCTTCAACTCTCGTCAGAAGCATCACGGTCCCCAGAGGGAGAAGCAAGCTTTGGCAGCGTCTTTTTCTTTTGCCGCAACACTTTCGGGTTTTTCCTTTTTAAGAGCCGTGTGAAATCGCATGATGTCAGCGGATTTATTCACACCCGTCCGTCCGTTATGCAAATAATGCCATGCTGCATTTGGTTCGATTACGGCCGCTGAAACGGAACCCTCTGAAGTAATCCGATGGAAGCAGCGTAACTATACGACATGATCCCCCGTAGAAGGTTGTTTGCTAGTTGGTTCCTTTCTGAGCACGTCATTTATAATTGATGAACATAACGTAAGCGGCATATGCTTCGAAAGGAAGTGAAAGGTGTGGGGAGGCACGTATTGCTCCTAAATTATTTCCAGTTATTTAATTAATTGGATGATTCTCACGCTCGCTCGAGTTAGTCACTAATAGTACAGTATGGAGCAATAGTAGAATGTAAATAAGGTTTGCATAACTAAACATTTCTGATTGCAGTAAAAGGTTCAGAAAACAAAACTGAGAAAAGAAAATTTTGGAGAATCAGATATTGAATCTGCAGGACGGTAAGGTGGTACCCAGGGACCCTCTTCCACGCGGATATTCCTGGGATCGAATCTTGGCTCGATGCTCGTCTAGGCCAATCAAGCCTTTCATCTTTTGCGGTCGGAAAATTGGTACAGAACCTGTTTGGGAGGACTGAATTCTGAACTGTACTTTTCTGGCCCACCAGTTCATTCATTCCACTCTGAGCCCCGTAACCATTCAAACGCCTCTACGATTCTGAGCGGAACTTGAATGTCTTGCGCATACCGGAATGAGATTGATCAACACCAAATCTTTTATTCTCTATTCTTTATATGCTTTGAAATTCGGGTGGTCTAGTGGAAGGCACTTTTTCAATCCCTCATTTGCTAGGTCTGTAGGTCGCACAAGTTCATGCCAACCGACCCTTCGGTTGGAACAGATTTCTCTGGTGCACCGAAAAGTCACTATACAGACAGATCTTATATAGTATCTCTGAGTTCCTAGATAAAAATGAACATTAGTCGCTTATCGTAACCATGAGTTAAGGTTGGATACTTTTTTTACATAATGTAGTTCAATTTTCAATAATTTCTTCAAAAACATTTTGATCACTATGATTTGTATGCTATGCGCTCACGTTGGTTGTAGGTTATAAATGCTGCTCTGAGTTGGTTGAACTTCGACTGAAACTGCGTAGTTTGAAGGGAATACTGATTGGCGCAGCGATTCGTTGCCCTTTGTTTTCCAGCAATTCTTTTTCTGTCTGATTCCGGAAGGAAACTGTGCCATGTTTACTCAGCGTTGCAAATCCGACGCTGCTCAGCATAGACGCGTATGTTGTGCAAACACCATGTGCCAAGAAGTCATCGATGTGGAGTAATCCTTCAATGAATTACATCAGCAGCCCTAGTGCCCAAATTGAAATGCAAAAACGTTTGCTTCACTTTCTAGCTGTGAGCCATTTAATTAAGTATTACTAGTTGGAAAAACTTTGAAGGTAATAGATAGGTACGGTAGCTGTTTGTCAAGGAGATTCAAGTTTTGAATAGAGCTGATTTTCGAGAGTGAATTAGATCTAATTGCTTTGAATGTAAAGCTTAGAGCTCTATGACAAACAGCTATGTTACGGCATACATTACTGGATACCAGTAATTATGGTCTGCCTCGGATACCAGTAATTATGCAGTCTTCAACGGGGAGGTCTCTTTGGAGGCGGAGAAATAGACTCCAGCTGGAAGTGCAAAATACCCTGGTAATCTTTCTTGCACATCGGGCTATTCATCTTTACAAAAGGGAAGTTTGTTGTCCCTGCAAGACTATTACCACGCCATAAATTCATCCAGATTCCAGAATATTTAGCGAAAAATGTGCCAGTTTGTCAATTCGTCCAGATTCCAGAATATTTAGCGAAAAATGTGCCAGTTTGTCAAAAGGTAGAATATTTTCGGAACCGAAACTCGGGAACTAATTGTTTGGTTACAGGTACTTAATTTCAAGCAATAATTTTTTTATCATCTCGAAGAAATACTGTAGAATAGGTTGCCAGGCAAATTATATGGAGACACCAAGCCGAAATTATTTTTTTACAGTAATACGCAAAATACAAATACTTTTATTATAAATACCAACTCGTACTCACTTCCTTTCCTTTTGTAGTCGGCTTTTTGCAGTTGGGAACTTTCCTTTTGTAGCTGGCTTTTTGTGGTTGGAACGATTTGTGGCTTGATCAAGTACCCATACATCACGTAGTTCCATCTATATCAGGCTTCTTCAAGTACCTTGTCAAAGCTAATATGATGAAGCGTCTTAGAGACATTCCCAGCTACCGAAGAACCTCCCATTGGTAGCAAGACTTTCAAGTCCGAAACTAGACTTTTAAAGTAAATGACTTTACAGTGTAAAATGGGGCTCCATTAGAAGTTGAAACTGTCCTTTGGTAAATTAGTAATCGGTTTGTACATGGGAATAAAAATCACTGCATTCTCTGTACAGGAATTCCATGGGAATTTTCGCCCGGGTGCTACAGCAAACGTGAGCACTTGTTTCGCAAAATGTGCCCATGAAAGTTGCTCCAATGTGTCGGAAGCAATATTGCGAGACTTTAAAATATTACGACCGCAGCGACACTAAAGGACGCCCTGGGCATCATAACGGCACAAAAAAACGCAGAGCTGGTTGAGCAATTCAAGCGATTGTACGACCACATGGGAGGTAGTAGTGGGTAAAATCAAAGGACCCAAATCTCTAAGTCATCAATAACTTCAGGGTTTTCGGCTTCCATCTAGAATCGAAGTGACGATTTGAATGTGTATACAACAAATCAGTGCTTCTATCCTCCCACACGAGGGTGCTACCAATGGGCCGACTCCGGAGGGATGGAGTGGTCAAGAAAACTGGTCGGATACTGTTTATTTCAACCATGTGGAAGTGGTAGCTCTTAAAGATCTTGAGGATAGTGTTCTAATCATGATGATGACGAATGACTTGATTAACAATTAGAATAGCTCCTTGTTTGTGTTTATGCTCTAAAAATAAAGGCTAAGTCGTTCCCCATTCGGCTCAGGTTTTTTGGAATGCGACATGGATTACAACTTCCTTTCAAATTCATGGAGTTATTCGATGAGTTACACTTTATGCCACAACTTTGAGAAGGAGACCATGTTCACATAAGTGGACCTGACCATAGCAAAGCGTCTGCTGCTGCCCATTTGAACTCGTGAGAAAGAAAATTTTTGGGTTTAGTCCAAATATACAGACCGCTGGTAGTGAAGAAAGGGATTTTCCCTGCGTTTCAAATTTTACTCCGCTTATTTACATTAACCTATTTCTCGAGAACGTTTCGTAGTTCTGAAGTCCTAAAATATCCCCTCTGTTCTCATAGATATGAAGAAATAGCTTGGAATTCGCTCAGTATCGGGTTTCTTTGATGTATCCACCTGTCGTATGGTCATTCCGCTTTTTGTAGCGGGATTCAGATGGATTACGTTTTTATATAGCCTTAAAATTTCTAAAAATGCCTTCTGACAGGTTGCCAGATGGTCTCAACGATGAGGCCAATAAATTATGGAGAGCGGCATTCGAGAAGAGCTGAATTCCATGCGCTCCACTCTCGTTGCTAAGGATTGTCGGTGAGTCGTTACTAGGTCGAAAAACATTCTCTTCAAGTCTATTTTCAACTCTCTTCAAGAACTGAATTTAAAACTCTGTCACTTCTTAACAGTTCTATGTGTTATGTAGCTCATTGGGAGTATCCTGATGATTTGAGACGCCCCTAGATCATCCTGGCATCTGATTATTAGATGGGTTCCTCTAGGCTTCGAACATTTTCCGGGAATAGATGGGCTAAGGGATTATTCCATTTTTATCATTTCATTTTGAGAAATCGAACCAGCAACCTGCTGTAGGTCTTAAAGCCTCTCGATACAATACTACTCAAGTTCAAAGGCAATTGTATTGCTGTCAGCTGGCTGGGAGTTTTTTTTTCTTTTTGTGAAGGGTTGTTTTAAAGAAGTAGAACGAACTCCATGTGAACCCCTTTCCTGAGAGATCCAGCCTTAAGCTCTAAACTGAGCACCAGTTCCCTCAGATTTGTAATTGTATCCCTTTCAGAGTCTCATTCTTATCTTATTATAGGCGTGAAGATATGTTTTTATTCCGGAAAGCCAACTACAATGGCCTTCCGCCCCATATCCAACGCGATTATTGTGTTTGAGCTAATTGGGACGTGTAGCGGACTTCGTCCGTAGTCGTCCTCGTCAACAACAAGGTGGCTCCGCCAGTGTGACCAACAGAGGCATTCGCATCGATTCGCAGCTAGTCGGAGTCGAGTCGAGTCGAGCCGAAGAGTGGAGGAGGCGTGACGGGGAGCTAGAGGAGTGGAGACGACGATGCCGGGGGCCCGCCTATTCCAACGAGACAGACTCGTCCAGATCGCTCTCGCTCGCGCTCCGGCCATGGCCGACGACAATCAAGAACTGACCGCTCTGCGCAGCAATGCCGACAATCTTGGCAAATGTCTCCATGCACTTCTGGAACGGATCGAAACACTCGAAGGAAAATCCCGAGCTGAGGTCACCCAAAACGATACATCCGTCGTCAATCATGAAAATGACCATGACGATCGCAACCATCGGAAGGAAGAGCAGGTCGAGATCAGCGACACCGTAAGCACCGATCCGGTCACGGGTGTCAAGAAGCGGACCATCGTCACCGAAAGAGTACTGACTACAAAAACATTCCATGCTCTATCTCTCGATCCTACTCCGTCAATGGCACCAATCAGTAATGGCCGAATACTCAGTCCAGGATATCAAGCCCGAGCTGTCCACATCGACGCCAAGCAACTAAATCAGGTAAATCTCCTCTCATTAAAGATCTTTCTTTCTTTCTATTACATTTGTCTTCTTTTTTTTCTTACAGTACATTGCCATTGTTCTGTTAGACCCCCATAATTACCGTAATTTCACGCCAATTAGTCCCATTTGTCAGAGGAGCCACCTGCAGTATTACGGTAGCTTGCGATCTTAGCTTTTTTAAGATTATTCGCCTTTGTTTTGTATATGTCGTTTCATAAGCAGCTGCTGCATATGTAATGACCAACTGGATCGATCGTTCCGCTTGAATGTTGGGGTGAATTGTCAGATAAGGCTGAAGCTGCTCCCATCTGTGTCATTCTACGGCCATTAGCTGCCGGCATGGTCTTGTTGCCAAAATTATTCGGGTGGATGGAGATTTGGCTATTTTTCAAGCTATAAACTAGTGTAAACAGGCCATCGGAGTAAGCATTCTGCAGATGACTACGGCAAAATGATTTAGTTCATCCGATTTATTTATTTATTATTTATTTATTCACGTGTTTTGAGGCGCGCTAACATGTGTGACTAATTTATGCGGGAATTAGCTCACCACAGTTTGGAAGAAATGGATGGGCTGAAGGTCTAAAATAAATTTTTTGGAGATTTAAAGCTGAAATAAAAGGAAAAGGGAAATTTCGAAGATGGCTGTATGGGAAAAAAGAAGAAAGAGGAATTGAGGAACATGTAGAGTTGGTTTAAGGGGAGTTNAGCAAGGTTTTTGGAGTTTTTTTTTTTTGAAGAGTTCTTAGTATTTCAGGCATTTTTGCAAAGAGGTGAGTTCCCGAATATTTTAGCTGATTTTAACAAATGCTCATTGATTATTGTTTACTTTGGTCCCATCAGTTCGGCCACAATGTAACCATATTTTTATTTCCGAGTTTATTACTTAAATTTTAATTTTTGATTTTGAAAATGCAGTCAAAACGTCATTCATAACGCGCCCAATTCGAGGAATGTGAAGATCTCACGAAAGCCCTTGCGACTCGTGCATTTCAAAGCACGTTCTTCGGTATGCCTCCCCCCTCAAAGAAGTGCAAAAATATCAAATTTCTTTGGAGAAGTTCTCTTTCCCGGCTTCTTTCGACTGCTTTCCCATTCCTAGAAGACATTTTTGATGTAGTTCTTACATATTATCTTGAAATCTCACAAGGTTTCAACTAAGAACTTCTTCAGATCAAGGTTTCGGGGTAACGCCCTCTTTAGAGCTTGAAATGGATGAGAGGACTCTGTTAATGTTTGATCAAACGTCTCCACGCCCTAAAGAAAATCGCATCCTAAAAGATATACTGATTTACAAGCTCGTTTTCTTCACCAGAAGGTTCTACTTGGGAAATAACCTCCCATTTTCCTGTGGAAGATTGCACGAAACGAATTCCCCAGCCACTAAAAGTGACATAGCGGGGCTCAATTCACACGAAATCGCAGTAAATTTGATATTCGATGAAATTTCAGGGGATTCCAGCCGTAAATAATTATATTTCTATGGATTTCTTTGTAGTCGCTGATTTTATGGGAAATGGAAATCTGGGTGCCTTCGGCTATCGAAATTTCTGTATCCGCTTTGTGACAGTGTAGCAGCTCTGGATATGCTTAAGTACATAGATTGAGTATGCCTCTTTAGTTGGGAGCTCTCTGCCTGAGCTATTTCTAGTTTGCGAGAGTTGATGGTCTTCCTTTTTCTGTTTCTTTTGGCCATATTACAGCATTCCTTTCCATGAATATTACCTTGAAAGCCTTTAAATTCTCTGGGAGTGTTTATAGCCGTTAAACATAGCTTTTTCCTGATGCCCTACCTTCATAAATCTTCATAAAGCTAGCTTTTCCAAGAATCTTGCTGTTTAGAAAACCATCCTATCAGAGATTATGGTTTCAGTCATAAACGAACTCTTCCGCCCTAAAAAGGTTTTATGGACAGTATCTTGTACTTGTAAATCTGAAACCTTGAAATCACCTTCATCGAGTTCGGTGCTCTGGTACCATGGACAATAGCCTTGGACAAAAAGGGTTTTTTTCCAAGATGTACTCGAAACTTTACATAAATTCAGTCTTTGTTATAATTGCGAGTGGAAGTTGGGTTAGCGGAGTATTCCTTTGTGGCTCCTCACTTGCTAAAGGGGTGTGGTGCGTTAGGAACGAAATGGTCGCGTCGCGGTGAGAGGGGCGTCGCGTGCGAAGAAATGTAGCTGGATGCAGCAGTAGGTAAGAAATACAAGAACAAAAGCACTAATAGTAAAATTATGCATAAANAAAGGCGATGTTGTACAGATTATGAGTCAGGATGATAACTGGATTCAGGTGCGTCCGATGAATCCGTATTGGCTAGATAAGCTGGCCAGTTGTGACTATTTTGAGTTGCTGAATATCTTTTTTTGTGCAAATTTCCGGGTCGCAGTTGATCTANAGGATGGTTCATTTTATTGAAGGCCGACTTCTGGACTTAGCGTACTTCAACGGTCTTCCGCTCCTGAAGCGTAGTGTTTCAAAAGCGACTGTTAACGATGGTTTTCTCTATGTCGAATAACACCTCAATAGCTCCAATTATGTTGTAGAAAAGATCCGTGGGTAGTCCTGTCCAAGAGAATCTACTTATGGATAAAATGATGATTTTTTCCGATTATTCGGCTTTTATTTATGGGATTGAAGACTTTGCTCCTGAGTTAGGACACTGAAGAGGGAGTGGGGAGTGGGCTGGAGGAGGATGGAGTCGGGAAAGGTGCCTTAGGACATTGAAGAGGGAGTGGGGAGTGGGCTGGAGGAGGATGGAGTCGGGAAAGGTGCCTCGGTGTACCACGAGTATTTATCGTTTTTTTTTTCATTTTCCAGTAAAAAACAAGGTTGAGGAAGGTTGTAAGTGAAAGTCAGATGTTGAAGTGTTGTCATCAGTGAAGCGTTGTCACTTGCTTCAACTTTTTCTTTTTGTTTTACCTTATATTAGAGTATTAGACTTCATTTCACTTCAATTTGTCATCCCTTTCAGTTTGTTTTGTTTTTTCTTCAGTCATCATTTCTTGCCCTTAAATAGGGCTAGTTGACTAAAGAGAAACATAAGCTGGCTTGTATAAACTATTAGTACAAAGGGATTATCTTCAGGTCATGAAATAGCTTCTCATCCTGCTCCCACTCGAAGAATATGATTACTGTAATTTTCCTCTTCTGACAACTTATTTTGGGTACAATTCTGCTTTCTAATTTCCGTAGAATACTGATTAACATTTTAACTCCTTTATTATTTGAAGGCTTTATCTAGCAGAATGTCACTTTACTTAGAGAAAGGACAGCTTCCCTGAAATGTGATGGCTGCTTGGATTATCTGTTTACTATAAGAGCCTTTTGGTCTTTCGGAAAATCACGCTCCCCTTTAGCCGAGTTTGAAAAAAAAAATTGAATTTTCTCAAAAATTACTGAGCAGAAACAGTAAGGAGGAATGAACTCAAACTCTGTAGAACGGTAATATGCACGGCGTAGTCTCTACGCATGATATTACTTAATGCTTTGCTATAGCTTTTTTTTCGTATTATGAAGGGTTAGTAACAGTTTTGCTGACTCGTTTATTTTACGGCATCGATTTTAGAAATGAACGGCGTTCATGCAGAATGTCCAGTGTTTATATTGTTGCATCGGGACTGCAGCATAGATTTATTGCGGGACCGTCAAGTGGTGCATGGGCTGTGCAATCCGGGGTCATTAGAGGACTAGGCGGCCCTCATTTGATAGCAATTCAGGAAGGGAACAAGGTCGATGTTGTTCATTGTAATGGTGGTTCGGGTATGACGTTGATTAGGAGCCCGTGGAACAAAGTTAGATAGGCGTTCCAGCTGGTGAAAGGGGTGCACCAGAGACTTTGGTGCGGCTTTTTTCCGAATTCCGATTTCCGACCCTCATCATCATAATTTAGCGAGGAACCGGGATCGGTTTGAGGCTATGATTTTAACAGTTTTTTTCAAAATCAGCTTCGTACGATTTCAGATCGAGGTAGAGAAGATCTCTGGCCAACTGGTGGTGACCCGAGTAAATGCGTCGGCAAACCACGATATCCATCCAGGTGATACTATCACCCATGTGAATGGTAAAGCTGCAGTGGATCACAGTTCTATTACCGGACTCACTGGTCGAATTACCCTCACTCTGGTGCCGACGGCTATTCATGGTGCTCCATCTGTGGGTTTCATCGTCCATTAGCTTTCAACCGAGTGCTTTTAGAGGGTTTTTGACTCAGGTTTTCTATCGTGTTAATGCCGATTACAATTCGGATTTGGATGATTCGAGAATATGTCGATGGCTGTCGATTGATGTCAAAAAAGGCGATGTTGTACAGATTATGAGTCAGGATGATAATTGGATTCAGGTGTGTCCGATTAATGTGCATTTTCTATAACAAATGACCAGTTCTGACTATTTTGATTTGCTGGATATCTTTTTTTCTGCAAATTTCCGGGTCCCAGTTGAACTACGGTATTTGCGTGTCCACTGCAATTAATACAATTGGTTTTGCATGAAATTTTCATAGTTTATTAGAAGTGGTTATGAATTAATGAGGCCCAAATGAGCATCCAACTGGAAGCCACGTGACTACTCTTCAATCTCACTAATTCACATCGTAACTCATTGTTTGACTTACTAGAAAGAGACCTACTACCCCAGATTTTGTGGGAATTGAGCTATTTTTTCAAGTTTTCATCACTTCCAACATTATTTCAAGTTTTTAGGCTCGAAAAGTCAATGATCTGTCCAGAGTAGGCTATCTTCCAGCATCTTTGCCTAAAGAGAAGGTAATTTCTCCTTTAGATGTCATTAAATTTCTGATTTTTGTGATAATATTAACTATATGATTCTAATGATGTCTTTTTGAGGTGGCAATGTTGTGCCCGTTTGGTCGTCGAGTGCTTGTACTGCTTGGAGCAGTTGGTGTTGGACGAAGAACCCTGAAGTCCATGTTATTACACGCTGCTCCTCAATATTTCGCGACCGTCGTTCCTTGTAAGTCTTCAATCTAACATTTTTGTTTTTATTCCCTGTGAAACTAGTTTTTTTTTTGCACTGCTTGGTCAAGGCTCATCTAGCAGAACAGGTTGAAGATTAATATCATTTTCCTGATTTTCGATTTGAACCTCGCCCAAATTTTTGACCCTTTATCGGTCAAGCCTTCCATCCTCCTAGGTTTAGTTGTTGGGAGCAAATTTTAGAGGCCCTAATAGGCCTATTTTTTTAACTATATTTCTACTAACTTATTTCAATGTTGGAAGAAATCACGAATCTAAGGGGTCAGATGCGTGGAGCAAATACGAAGACCTCATTCTAATGGTTGTTTACCTAGTTAGGTGAGGTTTCCTAGATGGAAGACCCCACAAAGGCCCTGACGGCTGGGGCAACCCATTCTGTACACATCCACCCATAATTTTTGCACATTCAGTCTTGAAGATTCATGAGGACAGCCATTTGTCGTCTCCTTTTTCATCTTGAACGACTCCTATAGATCTTTCAGACCATACTTCATGCATTCAGCACCTCGGGAATCTTGGGATCACTCGGATCATTCCTCTGCTTTGAGCTATTTTACAATCGAAAAAGAAACCTATATAAGCGATTTTACATGGTAGGAGTATATTTTATGGGAATTTTTGCCCACCAAGGTCCGAACCTCGATAGAATATATGGCACAGAATGCTGTTATTGGAAGTTTGATGAGTTTTGGACAAAACTTTCGACAAGCTTCAGAGCGAAAATTCAGTGGCAGAGAGGGTTCCTTCATGTCCTTCTTGATCGAATCCGGCTCTAATCCTCCAGTCCCAGGCAATTGATTTGGACGTTCCAAGATTTTGAATTCTATACGTAGCTAGCAGATATATGTGAGAGAATGAACTCGCTGACTTGAATATCGTTTAATAATTCAAAGATGTGTTTGGATTCTCCGGTAAGGGAGGGGGAGTGCATCTTTATGTAAAGCGATTTGAAGGAGAGATCGGATGCGTGGAGCATCCTTCAAATTCAATACCTCGTAGATGGAAGGAGCAATTATTAGCAAGAGATCTACGATCAAAATGTTCATTTTTAACTTTCTACTTGTAACGTTTTAATCGAACGCCAGGTCTTGAACCTACCTTCCAGCGCTTTTGCCTTCTTCGGAGTCTTTACGGTTGACCGATCAGATACACCAGCTTGAAGAACTTCAAGAATTTCTGTTCTGTACTGACAGAAGTTTCTATATGAAAACCTTATTATTGGTTTGTCGTCTGAAGCAATCCCGTCTTTCCACATCCATTTATAATTTTTATCTCTTGGTTTGAAGATTCATGAGGGCACCTATCCTTCGCCCGGTTTTTCCAACTTAATGTAGGATATTTGTCTTGAGCGACGCCTGCATAGAAGGCAGGCAGATAAAATTGCCTGCAGCCAGCAGTATAGGGATTCCACATCCTTTTTAAACTAATTTTGTTATGATGCTTACTACCTAGTAAATAAACAGCTGTTAGTTCCAACTTGTTTCAACAATACTACACAACCCCTCCATTGCTCAGTTACAACTTTTAGCAATGTATTGAATGCCAAATATTGTATCAAAAGGGTACCAGTTATGGGCTTACGCTGCACTTTTCCTTGCCTTCGCCTTTCAGACCACAACAGTGTTCAGCTGGCTCGATACTTTATGAATTTTCTTTCAGTAACCTCGAGGCAAGCTCGTCCTGGTGAACAGGAAGGTCGCGAATACCACTTTGTAACAAAGGAAGAAATGTTACGGAAAATTCGTGAAGGCGGAATGGTTGAATGGGGCGAGTTGGATGGTCAACTCTACGGTATGTTAAAATGAATGAGAAAAATCCACGTTTACTACTGGTATGGTATTTGTTGTTATAGGTACTTCTGCTGATTCGGTACGAGCAGTGGTACGAAGTGGACGAATGTGTGTGTTGGACTGTGCTCCCCAAGCACTTTCATATCTCTACAACTCAGAATTCATGCCGTTTGTGGTTCACATTGTTCCACCTCAACTGGAAGAGTTTTTGCAATTGGAAAATCTGCGACATCATCGACGACCTGTTGATCAACTGAGCAAGGTAAGCCATTTCTGACTTTTGCCATCCTATTACTTACCATTCAAGTCATTCTTTCACTATTGGGAGTATTTTTCATATTAAAAACTAAAATATGTCAGAAAACACTGCTAGTGAATTTTCTAGAACGCCATCAGTAGGGTCTGGGCCCGAACTATCTCGAAATAGTTAACTGCTGTCATATGACAAGTTTCTGAGGAAATTTTTCGAAATGATTGTGTTGTGTTGTTTGCGGTGTTCGAGCGTTTTTCTTCGAATAACAGCATATTCTTCGCTGCCGCTTTACACAAGAGGCGGGACTTAAGTTGTGGGTGGAGTTGGTATGAGCTCCGGACATCCTGTACGTGAGCAGTCAGGCTTAGATTTCAACGGTGCATGGAATACCGTGAACCAGCATCATGAATCAATTGTTTTATTTTGGAGAGGGCTTCTTTTTTTCTTATGAATAAAATATATTAATGTGTGTACCATTACGATATTTACTGTTTCCCTATATGTTTCAAATCTTTAGGTATGCGCTGAAAGCGATCAAATTGCTAATGGACCTCATGCAAATCAAATCCATCTTACCCTTATGAATCGAAACTTGGATGTCACTTTTAAGAGGTACCGCATTTCCTTCAGAGAATTCCTGGCGAAGTTTTCACAATGTGAAGCTCACGAGAGAGTTTTTGCATCTGGCCAGGCTGTATTTTTTTATTTCGATGACATTTATTCAGTTCTAGTATAGCATATTACTTCAGACTGACGGATGCCCTCGAACTTTTGAGAAGCGATACGCAATGGGTCCCGGAAAGTTGGATGTCATGATGTGTGTGTATATTGAAAGCCTTCATTTTCGTCGTATAGATTTTGTAGTTGAGTGCTTCGTCATCGCTGCTTTGTACCATTCCAAAGTGTGCTGTAGGAGTCCCGATCCGCTGTGAGCGCGCGGCAATTCTTAGCTAGTTGTCTCGCCGTGCACCGTGTCTTGGGTAGATAGTTGTCTCGCTGCGCGTCACTTCGTTCGGGACATCCCTCTGTCACTCTTTGGTTCGAAGCAGCTATGAGGCACTGCGAGGCGGATCAAAATCGTTAATGCTGTTTCGGTGACTTTTGTATCCTGTCTCATATTCTGCTATACTTTCAGTGAAAATTCGACTATTCATCACTTTCCTAGCTCTATCGATACTGCCATTACTATTGATTGTACGATATAATGCAAAACTTCTATCTATTCACTACTTTCAGCACGTGATCTCTTACTAGTCTACCTATGTATCAAAGTTTTAATGAACGCTATTTTCTCGTTTTGTTTCTGTTATTTTAATGGTTTTTTGACTAGCCGAGTACATCGGTAGTTGCATGCCTGACAGGCCTACTAGAGGCTTTTGAGACAAGTAGTGCTCGATGGATAAGTTCGCGCCAGGACCACTAGCTATGTGATACTGTAGGGAATCAGAGACTGTTTTATTCATCAGATGAGTTGTGAATGTATTGAGAGGTACACATTACCTCGCAGCCAATATTGTCAGAAAACTTGGTCTTGTATTGATAATAGCTGAGTATGTAGGAAAGGCACTATGTGGTCTTTATAATCAGACAATAATTGGAGCGTCGATGGAGTATCCATAGGGCAGGCGTATGTCACGGAGATGTCTTAGTATGATTGTATATGCCTGCGACGATCTTAAACGAACCCTCGCCTCACAAATTTTCTTAAAAAAACCAACTTGGGACTAATGACTAATTCGTGCGATCATCTACAGAATGCTATTAGTACCCAGTTACCTCTTGTGATTAGCACAGAAGACAATGAGGGACAACAACTGTAATTCAGCGGGCATCCCGCTTCCTAATCATGTCCTGGTAATGTCCAAGGTTTTTGGGGTAGGTAAATCCCTTTTTTGAGATGCGAGCTGCATCCGTCTTCAATTAAAAATCGTAGTAGCGTTTGAATGTGTATGTGACCTATAGAATGAATTGCGGTGGCTAGCCAATGTATAAGTCAGGGTTCCACCCTCCCAGACGAGTCTGCTACTAACTAATCTATCGTGGAAAGATGGAAGGCTTGGTTGGCTTAGGCGAATATATAGCTTGGATTTGATCCCTGCACCTTGCGTGTGATAGTGCGCCTCACTTTTATTTGCTCTTATCATATCGTGTGCTAATAGCCAGTGAATAACACCTGTTAGTCGCGTGATAGAGTCAGAGCTTGAGCCTAGGATAGGAATCCCTGTTCCATCTTCATTTTCGTGGTCTTGGGGCCATGTCCAGACTAACACAGTCCAGTAATTACTCATGGGATGTTCCCCGAAACGTTGTTCGGGAATTTTGTACGGATGAACCGATCCAAATGAATGGACTCCATGCGCTATTTATTTATGGCAAATGGGGGGAAATGACTAGAGATACGGCACTGTGTCTACTCTTCCAAGGAAGTCAGTCCGCCTCTTCCTTTTCCTTTTGCATGGCCGATTTGTGACAAACATAATAAAAAAAGAAACCACGCATTTGCCATCAATGTCGCCGGCATTGATAGTGACCTAATTACCATTCAGGTACCTTAGCAATTTGTAAAGTATGTCAAGCACGTGGCGTATCCACGGAAAATTTACAAAGATTGGATTCTCACTTTTTGCCCCTTTGAAATGCTCACGACCCTAACTTCCATTTACATTCTGAGCTTCAATTCGCTTTATTTGGCACACTATGGTTACATTAGTACGTCCGAATAATTTCAATTTCGCGCGCAATCAAAGTTTGTCAATGGAGCGCGAATGCAATCAGTGTTTTTGAATTCTTCGTTGTGGTCTAGGTAATTTGCGTATAGTATAGTATCGATTTTATAATCGTTCTTATAGAGTTCATTCAAACAGAACCCTTACATTCCAGCTGTGCTTCCATGTGATGGCGTCGGAAGGGGTTATATGGAAGTTTCGACATGATTATTATCCGGACAACAATGTAGCCCAAACCATGCCAGTACTTCGGCATCCTCTTCTTCCCAAATTCGACCCTCGTGCAAAAGATTTCGATAAGGAACCGGAGGATACTCCGAAATATGATTTCGTCGATCCACTAGGTGGGTCTACTATTTATGTTATATGTCAGTGTGACTTCATTGACTTTCTGCCTCGAAAAGTTTGGAACTCATTGAAATCGAGTGTTTCTGCTATGGTTGTGAAGAAATGAATGTTGTTGTTTACTGTTTTCGAAAAGTCATGTATGGTTCACGCAAATAGTTCTTAGAGCTATCTCTTAACAATTATTTCGTTCCAACGGCTTTGGATATTTTTTTTGTTCTGTTCCAACTTCAAGTGTTTTTCATCCCTAAAGAGCATGCTATGGCTTTTTGGCATCAAAACAATTGCAATAATACCTAGATTGTTTCGAATTTTTTCAAATTACATGAAACCAATGAACCCAAGGAAAGATCTAAGCTTCGGATAACTTAGAGAACAGTACTCAGGTGCCACAGTTGAAGAAGAACTCGGAACGAGTGTTACTCAATTGGATTTGGATGCTGTGGAAGATTTGTCACCTAAAAAAGATCAAATTCTTGACAATACTTTGGAAACGAAAGCCAAAGATGGACCGGTAAGGGGTGAGTTAACCGAGCATACTGTTGATATTACGATATTACTATTTTGTTCAACAAGTATATTTCTCAGATGTCCATCTTGCCCAATTTGAGTCCTGGGCAAGTAAGCGTGCGCAGATACTCAGTACTCACGGCAGCACCGAATTGGCAACGATATCCTGTTTCGGAGCCACCCTTCCAGCCAAATTCTCTGTTCTTGACAAGACAAAGTACAGGTCGGTGATGTGAAAAATTATGATCATAACTTTAGCAGGCTTGTTTTTGAATATTCTAAACTTTCACTGTCTTATACATATTAAAATTATTTTACTAATGTTGTTACCATATACTTATCTCTAACCTGTTTATTGTTTATGAGCGCTATCTTTTGGATCTTATTTAAATTCAAGAATTTGCGGTAGTAGTAAATAGGGTCTTCGAAATATAGATGCTCACTGTTCTTTCCACTGTTATCTAATTCAAGGTTACAAATGCTTGAGGACATGTCTGGTCTGCGGAAGCTGTCAGATATATCTTTGAACGAGTTTGTTGGTCACGTTAACGAACTCCGGCAGCGATTTCTAACAGCTTGGGAAGACAATAAGAGAGTAGAGTCCATTGAGGTAATTCACTGAGATCGATTATACCCAAAAAAANAAAAAAATTGCATTTTTACAAACGGTTCTTATCCCAGGTGATAACCGAACTTGCTCGGTTACTTTCCGCTCCCACTACCCCGTCGTTTTTCCCTGTACAGTGGATCCTCGTCACCGATATTGTTGACCTTTTTGGTGAATATGTTTATGATCGATTGCTATTGAAAGCTAATGAGGTATGTACAGTGCTCTTATAAAATGAGCTCCTCTTCTTTTACAAAAGTCTTGTACAGGAGAGAAAGGCTGCAGGAGATGGAGCATTGCCTTCAAATTTCGAGTCGAGTGACGTGCCTCCCAATACTGTAGATGTGGCTAAGAACTGGTTCAATAAGGTTGAAGATATCAAAGAAGCTGTTCCTCGATTTTACGGTATGTTCATCTGACAGTGCACTGCTTAACAGTTTTCTTCCAAAGATCTACTCCTATTTTGCTGGGGCTAAGCCGCCGGTACCTATCTTCTAATGAAAGACCTCTTTTTTCAGTAGAAACGACGCTGATCGGTTGCCAACGATTTTTGGACAGCACTTGTTTGAGAGCCAGTCTTCTTCGTCTTGCAACTATGATTGAAAGTAGGTGGTACAGTAGGTTTGCGACTTTTCCAAGTTTATCTCTTTAAATGACTGCAGAGTTCCCTCATCCTCTGTCGGCCGCATATGCTCGTGCTTACATCTGCAAAATAGCTATGATTCTGGATCCAGCAGATAGAGGGCCACATTGGAAAGCTCTCAATGATTTGATGCAGTCATCAAAGCAACCGGTAGGACATCATTTAAGGTCGCCTCTTTTTCAAATTGACGTTATTTAGTTTTTTCGTGAAAGTAAGTGAAAAGTGAACATGCGATGGGAACCTTATGTTTCTATTTTCTCGTTGTGTACATACTCTTTTACACTATTTATTTGCTAAGAACGTGGAAAATTTTGTTGGAGCTTGTAAAATTCCCTTGAATGGTACGTAAGAAGCATCTCAGTGTATCGGGCAAGTGACCTGTCAAGCTTTGTTTTTAACTTCCAGGCGTTGTACGCTTAATCAACATTTTTCGACTAATTCTTTTAGCTCTGATCGAATCTCACGAGAATTCAATTCCTTGAAGTCACTCTATTTCTAACAGACAGAGTTCGTTACTCCCGCGCTGGAATGGATTGTACAGTGCGTGTCATATGGAGCAGCCACTGTTGAGGATCTTGGACCGCTTTGGGAATACTGCAAAAGACCTGAGAACCAGGCTTCATTAATTCATGCCTTTATGATTGGTGTACCCCACAAGTACCTCTTGAACCACTGCGTTGAAGTTAGTGAACTGGTGAGTCATTTCGCCGCTACACTTGAATTTTGTCCTGTCTTCAAAAATTTCAACTCAGTGTTGTTGAGCATCAGTTTACAGATTGTCTCACAGTCCCTCCCTCCTGCGGATTTGGAGACCTTCGGAACTCGATTGCTTCAGGGTGAGCTAGCTGAAGATCTACATCCAAAAGTCTTCAGGTGAGAAACTTATAAGAATTTCGCACGTGGCTTTTACTGAAGGTGAACTTTGTAGTTTGGTGTGGCCGTACATTTCCCGCTTTGAAAAAGAAAATTTTATGAAATGCTGTGCGGTTTGGAGTAAATTTATAAGTAGGTAAGTCCGTAGTGGTTACGCTGTTCTCCATGACATTATTATAATATTTATTCTTGAGTTATTTAAATTATTTTTTTGAAGTGATTTTTCCTTTAGATACTACGCCAAAGCAGAACTCACTGACCTCTGTAAGCTCACGTTAGAGAAGTTGACTGGTATTAAAGTTAGTATTGCTTAGGAAGAAACTACTAGTTAGCTAAACTCTAGGAGTCATTTCAAAAATATTATTTTAGGACCCAACCGAGTATTGTGGCTATTTATCAACAATAATAGAAAACATACTAGAATATCCAGGCAGTGATTTCCCTTTACTGGTTAAATCGAAGCCTTTTGTTGACCTTCTGGACTACGTAAGGTGCATTTTGATTTGTTTTTTTGTTTTTCTTTTATTTCTCGGTGGCTGTTATGACGTCATTCAGAGATGAACCGTATGGATCACGTTGCGCTAAGGCTGTCCTTACAGCTATCACACGGGTCTTCGAAGTTGGCAGCGTCAAGAATCTGGAAATCATCGATTTGGTCCAAGACAGCGTTGATTCGTAGAGTATCGTCTGTATAATGTATTTTCTTTTAGATAGTGGAGCAATGTGGCCGTCTTTGTCAGTCAATTCACCCTGAAACAATTAGTGATGAGGTAAATTTGTATTCATCTTCATTTCTTCCATGTTCTCTAGAGCCAACCTTCTGATTATGAACTTCCGCTCTTTGAAAGATTCGATAAGTATTTGGAGAAAGAAGTACTTAGTGATATCAGGAGCGGCGAAATTGAATTTTATGGAAGACGGTACTTATCCGCGGCTTCCACGGCAACTTCATGGCTCCTACTGTATCCTTCCACCGAAAATCCAGACGTTCCTCTTCGGAGCGCGCGATCGGGTGCGGCGGGCGCGAAGCGACTTTCGGGGTGAAGTACCACTACCCAAACTTTATGTTGTCTCAGGAGTCTCTAGGGCTGCATAATAAGTCCAAATGTCAAAATAATTCAGAATTGTAATGCAGTGAGTGTTTTTAAGTAAGGGCAGGGCTAGAACAAAGATTCAGTTCTGCCTTACTTACCTTCCTAAATCGCCCTACCTTTTTGTACATTCGGTTTTCATCTGCCCATCCCAAAAAGAAGTGGTCATAGGATGTGCATCGTGACGCCACCGCCCCCGCCTTTCCAACTTTTTACGGCTAGAGTAGCGATGAAGATGGAGATGGAATTCAGATACGCGTGATTGACCGCCTTGTGGCATCAGCACTAGATCGTCCATGGCTACCGAAAGTTGCATTGCGGTACATGAGTTACTTCTATTTTTTTTAATTATTATTTTCATTGGAATCAGGCTGTTTAGCACACCGTCTCTATGATGATATCATTCGGTTTTCGGTTTTATGCTGCTCAGAAACCATCTTCCAAGAAGAGTGACTTTATGAGGTCATTTTCTCTTCCTCCGTGATATTTCTTGCAAATGGAATGTACCGAGTCCTGCTTTTCAGAGCTATTTCGGCCAATTTATACATTACAATACTAGCAATTATCGATCCCGTCAGGAGGTTTCAACTTTCACTTCGTGCCGTTTATGTGTGCCTACTAACAAATTCTCTTCCTAAGGTATCGTCTTTTAGAATAGTTCTGTGTTATCAAGTCATGTTCCGGGGGTTTCAGTAAATATTGACAATTATAGATCGAAGCTCAATTGAAATACACCTTGGAAACACTCGATTCACTTACGATACCTCCAGCTCAGTTCCTGCCATTTTTCACTCATCTTCTGTCGGTTCTCGTTTTTGTTCCGGATCTCCCTCATAAGCCCACCCTATATTGGTTCAACGCGGTTGTGAATCTTATTGAGAGGTATGCTGGTTCAGGTTAGACTGGCGAAAGAGTCTTATTTTGTGTTATTCATGACATTGGAATATTAATCGATTTCCTTGTCTCAAAGTTAATTCAGGAGAGACTGGCCTGCCGGCCACGAAACTGTTTACGGTGATGCATGGATTCGTTGTTTACACTACCTTTGGGCAGTGTCTCAGCCAGACTTTCCTATGAATTTTGGGAACGTCATTTCTAATGATTTATATTACGGATCCAGTAAAGCATATCTGTGAGTGTTATATCTATTATTACGACCTCGGTGTTGAACTCGAATATATAAATTTAGGAGTGTTGTAACGGAAAAGGCAGATTATGTTATGCAGCAGATCCTTGCCCTCATTGAAGCGCAGTCAACTGCGAAGCCGACTGTCGCCATGAATCTGTTGGAATTTGCAGTAATGAGGCTTGAAATTGAAGGACCGGTACGGTTATCTTGTCAAAGTATCTGCCTTGATTTTTTTTGTCACTCCTTCACTCTGATGCGCTTCTCGATGAGGGTTGGGAATAATTCAGCACTCAGAAGAGTCGTGTCTTATTCTTGTTTTCATCGCGAGTTGAATGCGAATGTCGCTCGTCACTACCAGGTGTGTGACGATAACAATGTGCACCTAACAGTGTATTCACCTTGGTCAGCGATGCTTACATATAGGTGTCTGAAGGGAATGGAAGGGAACGTTTGGGCGGTTTGCTTCATTTATCGACCTTTTTTGCTTACGTGGGATGTTCGATTTACTTATTTATGGTTGTCTCCTTCCCGCAACACTCATTTAAACCATTTAAAGCGGACTGCGAAAGGAATCTGTATTCGACATAAGCGAAGAATCACCAAAGCTAGCTGACAATTCAGAGTTTTGTTTTGTCTGCCCAAGCAGAACCGACTGAAAATTTCGACCCGTATGGCTGCAATTGGGTCCGTGGAAGCGGTGTCTCTCCTCCTCCTCTCATGCCATCCTTATCATAATAAAAACTATTTTTCCATGATTTCTCTCTTCTTTATAAGAAAAGGTACTCTACTGTGACGGTTTTATCTTGGCCGAGTAATTCACTGATTATTTCTGAAGTATGATATGGGTGAAATGAGTTTTTAGGTGGTCAAGTTGGTGACGAATTTGCTGAAGAGATGTGCCAAAAGCGGACAATTCGGTACTCGGGTGGCATATGTGATTGACGATTTGACAAAGTTGTCAGAAGACAATGATGAATTGAAGGAAGCTCTTATCAAAATGAAGTTGTTATAGTCAAAAGACGGTGCAAATGTTGTTATATTGTCAGAGATGTGATCTACTAGTACGTGTACTCTTGTGATTTGTTACGCTTACTTATTGTTTTTCTGTACGGTTGTTTCCCCTTCTATAAAACTTATACAGATATTTTTGAAGATTTCAGAGGCAAGAAGTGTGGCCTTGTTATATTTTTTTAGTCATTTTCGTTACTGCCCCTGAGAGAAAATTCTTTTCGAAACATTTTTGGGGAAGTTTACTAAATAGGAAACTTCGTTTTTTCTATTAAAAAGCCTTGGAGAGAGTGCACCACCAGTGTTGCATTCCCCGACCGACGCTGAAGTTGGCGTCGGCATTCTGCGCCCGTACGGGTGTTGATGTCCATACCATGAGTACAACCAATGATGCCAAGCGAGTGGGGCCTAGACACCCTCATTTAAGCTTGGCCCGTTTTCGGAGAACAGTCACAAACTAGACAATCCATTGCCTGTTTTATACCTCTCAGCTCTGATTCGGGAAGCATAGTTTGTCTTCGTTTATTGACTACGGACCGACCAACCGGGTGAACTATCTTCAGGTCGAAGCCCCGCTCATTACGGTCGCGCTCCGCAAACCCTAGAGGGTCCATCTCTGTGTAGCGTTAGTGGAGGTGACGGGGAATGCAGTGAATGCCTTTATAGGGTATACGGGGCCGCCGTTGGTTACTATGATTGTGTTCAGGATGTTCAGTGACGATGAAGACTTTTCTGATGAAGCACTCCAATTACCCGACTCACCTGACTCAAAGTCAAAGCCAGAGAAAAACGCGGAAGAAGAATTCCGTGAGCTGGTCAGTAAGCGAGAAAAGATAGAGAAGAAAATGAATGATGTCGATGAACTAGCCAGGCAGGTGAGCGCCATTGTTTCGTTTGTATCTTGGATGTGGTACGACAATCGAGGCTTCTAAAGTGTGCTTAAGGTGAAATTTGCCATGGAATTACAAAAAGCGATGACCGACTGCTACTCAAATCGTATATCAACATTTCCAATCGAGACAGTACTCGAAGTAAGTTGCCAGTGATGTCACCTTTTGCCTTTACGTTGCTTCTGTTCGCTTACAAAGAAGGAATCCTTTGTAAGCTGCTGTTGCGACGCTCGCAAAGTGAAATTTGTACCTTGATTCAACGTTCTTCGTATCATTCTGTTGTGTGGAGGTGGAGTTGCCCGTTAGGGGAGTATCGAGCTTGAGAATATGTGGTCGGTTACGAAGCGGCCAGACTCTGTATATCTCGAATATGGGAGAACCCCGGCTGCACGCGGCCACATGTCTTCCATCGATTACCTTTGTAAACTGCAATTATAATATTTAATTAGCGAAGTTTCCTTTTGCACTCCGATAGCCCAGTGTATACCTTGGACGAGTTCAACAATATTCTGACAGTTTGAAAAATTTCTTTGAACCCTATCAAGAATGGGAGTGATATGGCCATGACATTACTTTTCAGTTAAGGTCTCTATCATCCGGATCGCTTTTAATAGTTTTTTCGATAAAGAATAATACAGCAAATGAATTGATTGACTGGACAATATCTGCCAGCCTCACTCCGTCAGCATTAGCAGAGTCAAGTAAGAGATTTTCTTGTTATTATACTTTTTAAAATCTCTATGCTCAGTATCAAATTGAATGTTTGAGGTGAAGGCTCATGTTCTCAGAGCATCACAGTGGCGAGTTTGTTGCCTGGAGAAGAATTCTCGTCGGAAGTCTTTTTCCCACAATCTCATTTGAAGTTGCCATCAATCGTTCGACTGAACCTCAAAAAGTTAGTGCAACAAATATGTTTTCACAACTTGAAGCTGATTTATTAATTTAATCCGTCTACCACTCGTAAATTTTATTAAATTCAGCTGACTCTTTTACTTTTCGATTTTTTCTTTTATTTTTATTTTATGTTTGTGATCGCATTTTTCAAAAAATACTTTTAATCTGGGAGATGTGTTGTCAACACTTGATTGAAGTTTGGATAGAGACGCTGTGGTTGCAGTACAGTTGAAGAAAATCCAGTTCGATCACAAATTCCTACCGTAGTTTTTAATTAGTTACGGGAGCAATGTGTCATAGAAAGAGGTATAATGTTGGTGATAAGGTGTTACATTACTGTTAGTAGAACTAGTGGGCCTCGGTAAGAATAAGGATGCGCATTTTATTTTTGTGGTTCAGACACCCATTATCATCCTCTTGGTCTGTACTGAAAGAGTTCGCCTTACCGTGGAACACTTTAAATAGGTAGAGTCGGCTGCCAGTAATCAAAGGAATAAATTCTTATAAATTTCTTATGGCTACCGCTCTAGTTTTTTTTATTATGAAAGATTATTCTAGGATATTCAACATAGGCAGTGA